CGGTGGGAATGCGGCTAAGCAGAAGTGAATCCCTGTGAATAAACACTGGATCAACCGTCACCTGAACACAGACTAGAGAGGAGAACGAGAACTTTCTCTTCAGTGTAATTCTCTGTGTCACAGTAATGCATGACTGATGCCTTGATTTAGAGCTGGTATATCCGGAGCACTCCAGAGAGACATTCATTACAACCGCAGTGATTGTAGCAAAGATAACAGCATCCCAGATTATACGGCTAATCGCGCTCTGACGGCAGGCAGCAGAAGACGAGACAGGGACCAAACTTTGCTTTCCCCCAATTACAGTCTGATGTCTTTCTACTGAATCTGCTCACTGATGATTGACAATCAAACAATGACAGTTTTGTCAGATAATCTACAACAGAACAATTTATTCACTAAAATGACAAGACAGTGATGAGGGTAAGATGTACCATCGTCTTTCTATAAGAAAAAACATCAAAACATCCAGAAAATCTATTTGCTAGTTCAATGACATGATACTATTTTTTGCATTTTTAATTTGTTGATTTATTATAAAATACATGAAAAACCAAAGTCATGAAAAATACATGAAAAACCAAAGTCTCATGACAATTTGTAACATTTTCATTTAGTGGCTGATTGATAATAATTTTAAAATCATACAAATTATCCACTTTTCTGACAATATGTGAAAACATGTTACGCTTCCTCGTAAGACCTTGCTGGAAAAACACTAAGAATGACTTGTTTAACCTTTTATATGATAAGAATGTCTACAGTATCTCATCTAGACTATGACTATGACTATAAATTCATATACTACCTGACAAAAGTCTTGTCGATTCCAGTTGTAAGATCAAAAATGATAACTTGACTTCGAGCTGATCATTTAGAAAAGTGTCAGAAGGTAGATTTTACCTATTAATCATCTGGTAAACTGCATCCCAATCATCACAAAGACTGCAGAAGACCTACTGGAACTTGCATGGACCCAAAATTCTCACAGAAATCAGTCAAGTTTGGTAAAAAGAAAATCATGGTTTAGGGTTACGTTCAGTATGGGGGTGTTCAAAAGATCTGCTGAGTAGATGGCACCATCAACAGCCTGAGGTGTTAAAACATGTGTGCTGCCCATTACATTACAAACCACATGAGAGGGCAAATTCTTTAGCAGGATAGCGCTTCTTCTCATACTTCAGCCTCCACATTAAAGTTCCTGAAAGCAAAGAAGGTCAAGGTGCTTCAGGATTGGCCAGCCCAGTCACCAGATATGAACATTATGGAGCATGTCTAGAGTAAGATTAAGGAGGAGGCATTGAAGATGAATCCAAAGAATCTTGATGAACTTTGGGAGTCCTGCAGGAACGCTTTCTTTGCCCTTTCAGATAACTTTATTAATGAGTTATTTGAATCATTGCAGAGATGTATGGAAGCAGTCGTCCAAGCTCATGAGAGTCATACACAATATTAATTCTCTTTCCACTGCACCATGACTTTATATTCGTTACTGTACATTATTTCTTTTAAGTGACAAGACTTTTGTCTCAGCAAAGTCAGACCTTACTGTCCTTAAAAATCAAGGCATGATCAAATTTTATTTTGGTAAAATAAACGTAATCAACTAGAAGTCAAGTTATTATTTCTTGTTCCTAAAACCTGGATAGGCGACAAGACTTTTGTCAGGTGGTGTATATTTATCAGTTAAAAAATAATATTACCTCCCTATCATGGTTTTCTTTTTTTTTTTAATAGATATGCAAAATATGAATGTATTCAAGTTACGTTCATTGTGCAAACAAAAAAAATTACTTTTTATTGATCATTAAACTTTTTTTGGAAAGAAATACCTTTTTTCCATAAACACTCTTGCGTGTCATTGACCTCAGAAGCAGAACTGCATAAAATATGAAGACTTGTTTTCGGAGAATATGTGCTTAATTAAGTTCATTTTTCTTACCCCATTGTCAAAGCAGACATAAACAATAACAACATTTAGTGAGGTTCAAGCCTAATTTGACAACAGGCTGAGAAATAAAATAATAAAGGGCATAATTGAGGGCATTTTCTCTGGAAATAACCCATAATGTTAAGCTTTAAGTATTTTTGACTTTTCTGTTGACTGATAAAAACTGCTCATTTATTTGTTATTTTTTTGCAGTGTAATAAGGACAAAAAGTATGGTATGAGTTGCTTTGGATAGAAATGTCTTCGAAATTACTAAATGCAAATGATTAGTCAGTAGGGCTGCACAACATATAATTTTAGCATTATTATCGCAATATGCACATCTGCAATAGTTACATAGGCAAGGCAAGGCAAGTTTATTTATATAGCACATTTCATACACAGTGGCAATTCAAAGTGCTTTACATAAACAGGAATAAAAAAGATAAGTTTAGGACATAAAATGCAGACAATAAAAATGATTAAAAACAGATAAAAACAATTTAAAATGTGTTAAAATAGGTTGTAAAAGAATGAAAAAGAAAACAAAAAACATAATAGCGCAATCTGTCGGACGCAGCACAATGCTCATTCAGTAAAGGCACAGTTAAACAGATGTGTTTTCAGTCTTGATTTGAACATGCCTAATGTTGGTGCACATCTGATCATTTCTGGAAGCTGATTCCAGCAGCGAGGGGCATAGTGGCTGAAGGCGGATTCACCCTGCTTAGACTGAACTCTTGGAATTTCTAGTTTATATGATCCTAAAGATCTGAGTGATCTGTTAGGTTTGTATTCAGTGAGCATATCTGTAATGTATTGAGGTCCTAGGCCATTTATTGATTTATAGACAAGTAATAATACTTTAAAATCTATTCTGAATGTAACTGGGAGCCAGTGTAGAGACCTGAGGACAGGTGTGATGTGCTCTGATTTCCTGGTTCTGGTCAGAATCCTGGCCGCAGCATTCTGGATGAGATGCAACTGTCTAACTGTCTTTTTGGGAAGGCCAGTGAAGAGGCCGTTACAGTAATCCACCCTGCTGCTGATAAAAGCATGAACAAGTTTCTTTAAGTTTTCACTGAAAAACAAAGCATCTGATTCTTGCAATATTTTTGAGATGATAGTATGCTGATTTACTAACTGCTTTGACATGACTGTTGAAACTCAGATCTGACTCCAGAGTCACACCAAGATTCTTGACCTTATTTTTTGTTGTTTGACCCTTAAAGCCAAGTTACGCATTTACCTTGAGAACCTCATCTCTTTTCCCAAATGCTATGACTTCAGTTTTCTCTTTGTTTAACTGAAGAAAATTTTGGCACATCCAATTGTTAATTTCATCAATGCACTGGCAGAAGGTGTCAATGGGGCTGTAATCATTAGGCAGTAAGGCTAGGTAAATCTGAGTGTCATCAGCATAGCTGTGGTAGGAGATTTGGTTCTTTCTCATTATTTGGCTCAGGGGGAGCATGTAAAGGTTGAACAGGAGAGGTGCCAGAATCGAGCCTTGTGGGACTCCACATGTCATGGGTGTCCACCTTGACCTATGGTCACCTACTGACATAGTAACCTCTCCCTTCAAGGTAAGATCTGAACCATTTGAGGACTGTCCCAGACAGCCCAACCCAGTTTTCCAGCCTATCCAGAAGTATGCTGTGATCGACAGTGTAAAATGCGGCACTGAGATAGCAAGTTACGCAATGTTCAGTCTGAATTATAGTTGACCAGCAGCTACAGAACACATGTGATATGTAGAGTCACAACTAACTTTAACCATGATAGAGTGAAGGTTTATAATTGGCATGTGTTTTAAGGCCCGTGAGTTTAGAACATTTGGGCACAAAAGAATTATGATGTTTGGAGGTGTAAAACAGATTTATTTACTTATGCAGATTTACTACAATGCAGAATTAATACAATTTGTGAAATTTTGTGAGTTTTTTGGCTTGTTTCTTGTCCGAATATGTACATTTCGAAGCAAAAACAAGACTGTTCTACTTACCACATTGCCAAATAATTTTTTGTTTTAAGGAAAAACTATTAATTTTGATCATTTTTGAGCATTTTTACGTGATCTAAGAATTTTTTTATATTTGGACTAGAAACAAGATAAAGCAAAGAAAGAAGAACTTTTTTTGCTTTATGGTAATTTCAAGAGTTCACACTTAGATATTGCTTGACAACTGTAAGCAGGTTTGGCATGCTGTCCCGGGAGAGAACCCTGAGCTCGGAGATAGTTGAGCCCAGGGCTCCCGCCAGGTCCATAGAGCATGTGAGGGGAGTACGAGATCAGGTGGTTCTCGAGAACTCCTCTTTTTGTAAAGGAGAAAAGGAGGAGAAAGGGGTGGATGGGGGGTTTCTTCGGAAAACGGAGATAAGGGAGTAATATCTAGCTAGGCTACTTATAGTGAGTTAGGATAGATCTGATTGGCTAACTAATGAGTGTAGATAGGTGGCCAGCTGCAGTCAATTATATCACATGCTCCTCTCGAAATTAGTTTAAAAACTTCACTTAAATTTTGTACCCGAATACTCTTAGACTTCCCAGAAAACTGTCAAATAGAGCTATATAACCATCTTGTGAAACCGTATTCATATTCATCGCGATATTTTTGCAGAAAAATAAAATATCGCAATATAAAGTTTTCATTGCAATAATATTTTACAATATTTAAAATTTGGTAAAGAGTGGTTACAAGTACTATAACAAACCATTTTATGAAAGAAAACAACACTTCTAAAACACCAGTAAGTTGTTCAACTTCAGAGGTTCACATTTAACTTGATGTGTTTTGTGCCATTTTGTATTGTTTGTGAGATAACACTTCATAACTTTTTGATTTAGTGGCTAATTTGTATGATCTCATTTGTACATTTTATTACAATTTGCTCATCTCCCATTGATGACTGGGTTTAGGGGTGGGGTATGGTGCCATGCCTCCTTTTAAAAATCGTATATTTTCATTCGTGTTAACCTCTAAATTGAAAAAAAAAAAACATAGTGCAAATTTCATATCAAATTCTGACTGAAAGCACTTTCATGAATGAAGAGGAATTGCTGCTCTTACCTTTCTCCAGTGTGGTGATGCCCATAGAAGGCTGACCCAGTCCTGTCTTCCTCTCCCACTTGCCCTCATCAGGGTGGTAGACTTCCACTGAGGCCAGCGGGCTCTGCTGCGCATCCATACCCCCCATAACCATCAGCTGGTCCCCGACAGCTACAGCAGATGCCCCAGCACGAGCTGTGGGCAGCGGAGGCAGCTCGCACCAACGCTGGCTCTCTAGATCCAGCACCTCGGCGGAGTCCAAAGGGAGGCCGTTCTCACTGCAGCCGCCCAGCACATAGAGGCGTCCAGCCCAGAGGATGGGCGTACAGTACACCCGCTGCGTGGCCATGGAGGGAAACACCTCCCAGTACAGAGACTTCACCGGGCTCAAAGCCATCTCAGGGATGGGCATGGCTCCTGGACGGCTCGCCGGCAACAGAGCATGACACGGGCACGTAGAGGGAGGGCTGAGAAACACCAAAAATCAAGGCAAATCCATCAACAAACCACCAGGCTAGAGAGCAGGAGAGACTGTCAGTCTTCCAGAGAGCTCAGTTCAAGCTCTCATTCGCAGCAGGGGGAGGAGAGCGTTTCCTTCACTGCTCTCTGAGAAGAACTAGCCCTCGCTCCCTCTTGATGATTTATTCATTTTTGTTGCTGCCCTTAAAAGGTGCATCAGGCCCTTTTAAGTCTTTTAGTCGTTTCCTGCAAGTCGTGTTGTTGTAAATTTTCCACAAAAAAAAGTGTAACTCCGACTCTAATTTATCCACGTGGAATTGCTTTTTGTAGTCCTGCCAAATGTGCTGTTGTGACCCTCATGTCTGGTGCTGTGGAGGAAGAGGAAAAGAGAAACAGTAACAGAGCAAGCACAGGACAGAAGACAAAACAATCAAAAGGAATTCAAATACTTGGTATACAGTGCTCAGCGTATGTAAGTACACCCCTCACAAATCTTTCTTTTAAAATTCATATTTTTAATAGGAGCTATACAATATCATATTTGTGTATACACATTAGATTAGTCAGTACTAAAGCCAAATCTGGAGCTTATCTAACAAAATAACTTAAGATAACGGTCCAATAACTAGTACACCCAAATTTATATGTTATAGAAAATTATTAAATACCATTTTTAAAACAGGAAAAATAAAGAGAACCAAAAAAAGGTAACCATTTTGTTGAAATTGTGTTGTCAATGTTTTATGTGATAATTAGCTTGAGTTTAATTGTATTATCATTCAATTTCTAAATATGTTTGGTGACTAAAATATTATTTTAATAAAAATATCTGTTTTATAAATCTGTTTTGTTTAAATGCATCAAAATACATTGCCTATACTTACTGAGAAATAGAAAAAAAAAAATCAAAATGGGATGAACTCTATGCTGAGCACTGTATGTAACTTGGCCAAAAAAATACACTATTCATTGAAATTTTATAATACACAAACTCAAAAATAGACAAACATACAATTTATGCATACAATCTAAATAATATATTTAATTAATGTCAAAATCCATGTTAATTTGTTGGAGGCATAAAAAATGTTAGGGTGCCTCTTACAAAAGAACTTCATTAAAATAATACATTTCTGAAGGCAAACGATTTATCTATCGCATTATCTATATTCTATCACAGGTTTTCTTTTATTTTTAATTTGAAAAAACTTGGGTCTGTCAAATCAGAGTTATGCTTTCAGGGCTCCGTTTTCTCCTAATATTAAGATGCGTTATGCTGATCTGTTCATAGCTGGACAAGACTAAATATTGGTGCAAACAGGGTCTAAAACACTTTAAATATGTCCACTTCTGAAAACTTCAAAGGGGAGTCAAAACATAGATTGCTTTAGCAAAACTTAAACAGAAAGTCGAACAGTGTTTTAACAGCCACAAAACACTAACTACTTTCCTACTCGTTACAGTCATCAGTGATCAAGCTACTACGGATCGCTGGAGAACTACAACTCCAAATGGACTACAAATCACACCATGCACCATGCACACACCAGTTCCTAATTTCGTCTGATTGCAAACACTCACAACTGAAGCTGCTCAAGGACTCATTACACAGACTATTTATCCACCACATTTGCTCACACACATTGCTGAGCATTGTTTTTTTTTTATTTTGGTAGTTAAAGCTAACCTGTAACTTTACCTTGCATTTTTATTTCCTTGTCTAGCCGTGTTCTTTGATTCTTGCGTTTTATGTAGTGGTGGGCAATGCGAGGTTTCATGAAATAGTCGAAGCAAATGTGTCGAAGCTTCAAAACGTATAAAACAGTAACATTACTAAAATACATAAAATCATTATTTTAGAGTATTTGTCAGGATTCAAACCCAAAAGCCATTTGCAGCACACGCCAGCTATGTGCACACAAACAGTTTACTAAGCTATATAAGAGTTTTATTCTGACCCTGTCAGTCAAATGCAGATTCGCCAGGTCTCGGAACGCTTCTGAAATGACCAAAGCTTTGAATCGCATTAGTCACGTGACCAGGTGTTTCAAAACACTTGTCACGTGACCTGTGTGTTTTGAATCACGCTAGTCATGTGACGTAAGATTTTCAGATCATGCTTCAGTGCAGTGCCTAAAACGCGATCTCGACACTGTGTCGAAACGTCAGTTTCACGTCAGCCATCCCTAGTTCCCTTTCGGGAACACACAGTCCTGCCAATTGAATTGGATTGATTTCACCTGTGCTTCAGGAGGTTATAAGAGAGGGATTGTATCCCATTGCGTCTCCTAAAGAGACGCAGCGTCTCGTTCCCTTAGGGAACCATGGTTACATTCGTAACCTGACGCGTTTTATGTTATCTACTTCTAGCCATGTTGCTAGTTTTGACTACTTGTCTGTTTATCGACGAAGACTTCTGGATTATCTATCTGTACCCGATTGCTCCTGTTGTTGAACCTTGCCTGATTTATGATCCTGGTAAATAAATCTGCATTTGGATTCGCACCTCTGCTAAAGCCTTAATCAGTTACAGAACTAATCCAAATGTATGATTTTTATGGGAGGTGTTTTGAGAAACTGCTCCAAATCAAGATAATCATACTGTGCTCAACTGCACTAAATTTACATTAGAAACCTATGATACAAAAATCTAAGATAGATATGATACAAGCTAAATCAAAAACCAGTGGTCACAGAAAACTCATTTAAATACACGTTAATATCTGGTAAAAAAAAAAAAAAAGAAACATGTTCAAAACGAACAAACTGCACCACATAGACACCACATAAAAATAAAACTTCCAGCTTGCGGAAGGCTGACATGTGGACATAGGCGAGCTGCTAGTGAAGCTAATGTAATCCACTCTTACACTTATTCCAAAAACATATAATTCAATGGCCAAAGCGGTGACATTTACCATTCACTATTTACTGCCAGTAGCTCAAGGGTAGATGTGTGTTTGTGTGTGTGTGAATATGCTGGGCCACAGAGCAGTAGTCGGGGCCCTCTCCAAAGGTCAGCACGTCTGCGGGGACCGACAGCCCTGTATAGTCACTGAACCAGGCTAATTTGGACCTGTGCATCATTAGTTAAAGGCTTCATTAATGGTGCCATGAGGGAGTGAGAAAGAAAGAGAAGCACTAAAAGGTTACAGAGTCAGACAGAATACACACAAAAAACTTACTAGGCTTCTTTTCTCTTTTAGGTTTCTTTTGTGTAATCGCATAGATATAGAGGACAAAAAGCAGATCAGAAGTCTCCAGTGATGTGTATCTCTCTCTAAAAGGCAGTGTATCTCCAGATGTAGAGATGTTTCCTGTGTGGTCTAAATCGGCTTGGCTGTGTAATTAAGATGCTGTGGATGTTGAGTCCGAGCCACATGCTACGACACACAGAGCAGGAGGGGTAACGGCTCCAGACTGACTAAGAATTATGCAGAAAAACATCAGTTTCATCTGGGGCCAAAGTGCTGCCGCTGGGAGCTCTGACTGAGTACAATCAGTCCACATTTGATGTCGCCATTGGATTCTTCTTTGGGTTTAGAAGCAAAAAAGCTGTAATACTAATCCTGCTGTTCAGCCTTTTGTACACTTCCTTTGGCTTTTCTTCAAATGTTCATCTCAGATGGGAAAACCACAGATGATGTAGCTCTAGTTCTCCTAACTGGAGATTTTCGCCTACACAGAAGGAAGAGTCTCTTGGGGTCAGTGGGAAATGATGTTGTCACTGGGGTATGATGTCCAGTAGATCTATGGGATAAACATTGGGTCCTGTTTGAATTGCCTAGAAAACACAGAGGAAGTAACAATAAACAAACCATTTAAGTACTGGAAGAGTGATGGAGGGAGCAAGAGGGAGAGGGAGAGAGAGAGAAACAGGCAAAGTGCCAAGAAGAGAAACAGATGTTTATGTTGTGTTTTTGGAAAGACTCCTATCTATAATTAGACTCTTACATAAAGAGTCACATTCAGGCTAAAATAGCAGATGACAACAAAACTAGAGGTCTCTGTGTTAACACAATTCATTCATTCATTTTCCTTCACCTTAGTCTCATTATTTATCAGGGGTCACCACAGCGAAATGAACTGGCAACTTATCCAGCATGTTTTATGCAGCGGATGCCCTTTCAGCTGCAACCTAGCACTTGGAAACACCCATACACTCTCACATTCACACACATACACTACAGCCAAATTATTCATTTTCTTTTCTGCATAGTCCCTTTAATAATCATGGGCCGCCACAGCGGAATGAACCGCCAACTTATCCAACATGTTTTTTACTCAGCGGATGCCCTTCCAGCCGCAACCCAACACTGGGAAACACCCATGCACTCTCATACACTACGACCAATTCACCTATACCGCATATCTTTGAACTGTGGGGGAAACCAGAGCACTTGGATCAAACCCACTCCAACATGGTGAGAACATGCAAACTCTACACAGACACGCCAACTGACCCAGCCAAGGCTCGAATCAGTGACCTTCTTGTTGTGAGGTGACAGCGATAACCATTGAGACACTGTGCCGCCATGTTAACACAATAAATTTTATAATAAAAATGCCATCTATTGCAAACTATCTTTTTTTTCCTCTCTAGTGAGTGAATTCAATATTCTTGTACTATTATGTTTATAGAAAAAATGATTTTGGACCCAGTGGTAATAGTGTCCTAACCTGCGAAATTGATTTTCTATGAAGTGTCTGCTCGCAGGGAGAAATTTCTACATTTACCACTCCACACTAACATCTAGAGCTGTATTCAGACCTGGAGCCCTAAAGAGGCACGGTTTGACATAAACCGGTGTATTTTAAGGACGCTGCATTCTAGCGGAGCAGGTAAAAAAGGTGTTTTCTGCTTATTTTTTCCTTTAACAACGTTATATGACATCCACGAGAGGCCCTGAGACAGGAACAGTCGTCATGTTGGCACATTTCAGACAGATAGATGTCCTTTAATGCTCACTGCACACAGCAAGACCGAATGCACAGACAGAAGCTGAAGTTTATACAAGACTTAAAAGGGTTATTTTGAAGCAAACTCTTAGGAGCCAACCATATTTAGTGAATTTGAAAAAAATTCAAATCCAGAGAAACACAGGCAAATATTAGATTTTTGTCAAATATAATGTAAAATGAAAAAAAAATCTAAACATCTTTAATGGATTGTTCACACAGAAAAAGGTATTCTGTCATCTGAACATATTTCCTTCTACTGTTATATAAAATGAGAATGTTGCAACCAGACAGTTTTTTTTTCAGATTTTTTGTGACTTCTACTTAAAAACAAATTTATCAAGGGAATTAAGAATAAACTTACCTCTTGACTCTTAATTAACTATCACTATAATAATTATAAAATAATTAACATTTATTTAACTGATGACAATTGTGTCCAAATGACTAAAATTATGACAGTGATAAATCTTGTGCATCATATCTCTTTTACACTGCCAGTCTGACGTTTATCTATGGTTACCTCAATAAGCAGTTTTGTGTGAACTATAAAAGGCAAAAATGACTTTTTTTATAATGAAACCTGTGAGCTATGAAGGTCGAGACCTTCAGAGCAAGATGGCATAAACTGTACCCTCAACATGAGAAATAGCACATTCACAAAGCAGCAGACCATGTGGAGAACTGCTGTCCACACAGACACTGAGACAGATACATAGTACAGATAGACAAAGTACAGATAAGCATATATACAGGACAAACAGGCACATATACAGGGCAGACAGAAGATATTCAGGACAGACAGTCAAGAGAGACAAAGAGACACACAGACAGACAGAAAGACAGACAGACAGAAGATTTATAGGACAGACAGTCAAGAGAGACAGAGAGACACACAGACAGACAGAAAGACAGACAGACAGAAGATTTATAGGACAGACAGTCAGGACAGACAGACAGAAAGAAGATATACAGGAGAGACAGTCAGGACAGACAGTCAGGAGAGACAAACAGGAGAGTCAGACAGACAGACAATATACAGGACAGTCAGGACAGACAGACGATAAACAGGACAAACAGACAGACAGACAGACAGACAGACAGACAGACAGACAGACAGACAGACAGACAGACAGACAGACAGACAGACAGACAGACAGACAGACAGACAGACAGATAGATAGATAGATAGATAGATAGATAGATAGATAGATAGATAGATAGATAGATAGATATACAGGACAGACAGAAAGAAGATATGTAGGACAGACAGTCTGGACAGACAGACAGATATACAGGACAGACAGACAGACAGAAGACAGACAGACAGACAGACAGACGGATGGATGGATAAACAGGACAGACTGTCAGGACAGACAGATAGCTAAAAAAGGACAGACAGACATACAGATAGGACAGATATACAGGACAAGCAGACAGACAGACAGACAGACAGACAGACAGACAGACAGACAGACAGAAGATATACAGGACAGACAGTCAGGACAGACAGACAGACAGACAGACTGACAGACAGACAGACAGAAGATATACAGGACAGACAGTCAGGACAGACTGACAGACAGACTGACAGACAGACAGACAGACAGACAGACAGACAGACAAAAGATATACAGGACAAACAGACAGAAGACAGACAGAAGACAGACAGACAGACAGACAGACAGACAGACAGACAGACAGACAGACAGACAGACAAAAGATATACAGGACTGACAGACAGAAGATATATAGGACAGACAAATATAGAAGATAGACAAAAAACATACAGGACAGACAGACCAGACAGACAGACATACAGGACTGACAGACAGATTAAACGACAGACAGATCAAAGGACATACAGATAGATAGACAGACTGACATATAGGCCGGACAGATAGACAGATACAAAAGACAGAAAGACAGATATATAGACAGGCATGTATACAGAACAGACAGATAGAGAAACAGGTATACAGGACAGGACAGACACACAGACAGACACACAGACAGACAGGAGACAGACACATAGACAGATGGTATGGAAATCCTAATCAAAATGTTATGCTTAATTAACAGGATGCATTAAAATGGCTAAGCAGCTAAACTGGAGGATGGAGAAGAGTGATCTGAGTGAAAAAGATGGACTGGCCTTGGGCACAGCTGACTGTTCTCCAGAAACATACTGTTGGATGAATCATGGATGCTGCACAAACAGTTCTCAGTTTTAGCAGAGCCTCCATGGCTGTTCAGCAAGAATCTGCTTCTGTCTTTGCTCGTCTATCTGCACTAGAGGACAGGCATTATTCACTCTTCAAAACGGGTTCAGGTCCATGTCTGAGCTGCAGATAACATTTAGAAGACTGATCAGCCTTCACAACTGATCCAGGCTCAAAGAGCACACTCTCTCTTTCTGTACCTATCATCCTTCCTATCATTCGCATTTTTTTCATGCTTGTTATTATAACTTATGCCCCATCTCCTACCAAGTGTACATATAGAAGACTTTGCATTCTCCACCATCCTCTCACATCAGCTTCTCCCCTCTCACTCCCACTGACAGTCGTCAATCACAAAAAGCATGCGCATTTCTCAGGCGTTTAGCCTTCGGCACAAAAACATGATTACTTTTCTATAAGAGAAGTGAGCTGAGCCGCTGGGGGCACTGAAGAACATGCTGGGTGTGTTCAAAACTGCATCAAACTATCACAAAACAAGCTGTAGACATGAGAACATACTGACTGCATCAGATTTCTTCAAGGAGCAATAACGCAACGAGCAAAACTAATTAAGCCAAATGTTCTAATCTAAACCAAGTGTTTCATAATATAAGCCAGAGCCATAGACGCAAGCATTTCAATGATTTCCTTCTTGTTTTTCACCTTAGAAAACAAAAAAATGAAGGAAACAAAGCAGTCAGCAGGGGGAAAGTAGATAAACAGAGCATAAGGTAAAATAAACAATGAAATTCAGATATAACGGCCTGGGGATGCACAATGAAAGAAACAGACAATGGGATTGGGAATGTGTGTGTGTGTAGGTGTGTTGGTGTGCGTGCATGTGCGTGTGTGCGCATGGCAGCAAATATGTTCCAGGATTCCCTTGGTGAATCAACTAATCAAACAATTTACTGCCTCACCACTCAACATCTCTACTAGCACTAAAGGCAGAAGGTAATAGTGTGTATAAACACACACATCATCTTGGTGATTTTGGGCTAACATCTAATGCTTTTTAATAAGCTGATGTTATTTTCTTTCCCCTAAAACTAAAACATCCAAACAAACATTTTAGGATTTTTAAACTGTCAAGTCATTTGCCCTTGGGAACCAGTGAGTACTGATTTTAGGTCATCTATGTACTTTATGTGCGTCTATTGTGAATCTGTAATAAAAAATAAAAAAAAGAAATACACACTTCCTGAAGAAAAATGTGAGAAACTAGAGAAAAAGAAATTACACTACCTCAGAAAACTCAGGATTATTATCTAAATGCTGAGCTGGGGCTGTTGGGTCATTTTATTTCAGTGCTGGGTATTTTTTGTGTTACTTAGTAACTGGTTTAAATGCACTCCTCCCCACCCCGATGTTTATTACACAATGATTGAGACATTTAGAGAAGGCTTATTCATCCTCTTCTAATACAGAAGGTTCATCTTTAAAAGAAATATTCTACTGCAAGTTATTTTATTCTAAACAGGGAAACAATGCTAAACACCTAAATGAGTGTTGTTTTGTCTTTTACATAATGAAAATACCTAATCACATGCACAAAATTAATCATTTTATTGCTAAATATGTATTTTTATGAACAGATTATATA